TGTATAGCAGAGGTGGACTTGGAATACACAATTGCCTATTTAAGAGATTCAGGACTTAAAAGAGCAATAGACAATGTACCTGAAAAATTGCCTATATTAAGAATGAGACCTGATCCTGAAGAAAGGTGATGCTATATATGTTAAAAGGTTGGACACATTGCCAGATATTGTAGATTTAAAGGCACAGGAGATCAAATACCCAGAGGTGCAAGTGCTAGTATTGAAAGAGCGGCCCCTAGTGTCCGAAGACATTTCAGCAGTCATGGAAATTTCAGACCATCACAAGGAAGACCAAGTACCTGTATGAGTTACAAGCAAAGATCCAATGATGGTAAAATTGGTCATAACAACCAAGTGTTCCAAATATCTGATTATGAAGGTGTGGACGATAAGAGACATTTCCTTCTTGATAGTGGTAGTTTCATACATATTTGCCAATTTAGAGAATGCTTCAGTCAACTTGACACAGAAAACAGACCAAGGATATTGCAAGCAAACCAGCAAAGTTTAAATGTGCTTGGAACTGGAACAGTACCTTTAAAAGTTCTTACTTCTAAAAATGAGGTGGTAAATCTAACATTGACAAATGTTGCTTTTGTTCCTAAAGCCTCAAATAACTTATTGGGTACTAAAAGATTTGTAAAAAATGGTTACACTGTAATCCTTAAAGGTGACTCAGGAAAGGTTATCAATGATAAAACTGGTCTAGTACTTAAGGTTGATGAAAAAGATGGTTTTCATTATATAATTTATGTTAGTAATGATTTAAATACTGTAGTAGATGAAGGAACATCTGTATGTCAAACAAGCAAGATATATGTGATCATAAAACTTGTCTTTACTTATGGCATGTAAAATTGGGACATAGAAACATGCAAAGTATCGAAAAACTTTTGGCAGAATGTGGAATTGATGCTTTTAATTGTGATAAGTCAAAAGAAGGATGTGAAATCTGTATAAAAGCAAAGCGAACTGTTCCCAGTTATACAGGAAAGAATAACATACAGGATAAAGAGTTTTTAGAAGAGGTCTATTCAGATTTAGTTGGTCCCATGCCATTATCCGCAGGCAATAATAGATATTTCCTTACCTTCAGAGTCTAAAAGTAAATATACTTATGTATATATACTAAAAGGTAAAGATGAGACTTGAAAAATTTAAATGCTATATAGCTGCAATTAAAAACCGGTTTGGCAAAGCTCCTCTAGCATTACGTACTGATGGAGGAGGAGAGTATTGTAATGCAGATTTCAGGAGATTTTTTGGAACAAGAAGGTATAGAACATAGAGTAACCATATCTTATTCCCCACAAAAAAAATGGATGTTCTGAAAAGCTGAACCATACATTGCAGGAGATGACTAGATCTATGCTAATGCAAGCTGGATTACCAACTTCTTTATGGGCTGAAGTGGTAGTTACAGCAACATATTTGCATAATAGTGTCCCTAGTAGAATAACAGGTAAAACGCCATTTGAATTATGGTATGGAAAAAGAGCTGGTTTAAAGCACATAAAAACTTTTGGTGCTAAAGCATATGCACATGTCCCAAAGGAAAGGAGAGGAAAACTTGATCCTCGAGCTGAAATAGGAATTATTGTTGGGTATCCCATTGGGAGGAAAGGGTATAGAATTTGGAACCCTAAGACTTCTGAAATTAAATATTGTAATGTATATGTTGATGAAAATTTTGTAAAGCAACAGATAAATGAATCCATAGTGACAATTGATCTACAGAGTATAGAAACAGTTTCAGAGGAATTGGTCGATTGGTTATCTGCAGAGACCACTGGTCAACCAGCAGGTCCATCTTCTGAAGGTGTTACCGGAACAGAAGAGGAAGCAGAAACTGGACCAAAAGAAACAGAGATAACAACTTCTGTAAGACGATCAGAATGGATTAATAAAGGCAAACAACCAGAAAGATATGGATTTTGTGAAAATCTGCATATGATAAAGGAACCAACAAATTGGAATGAGATCACAAAATTACCTATTTCAGAGAGAGAGAAATAGATGGAAGCTATGGAAGAAGAACTCCAATCTCTACAAGAGAAATTTATATATTTTCGGGAAATGTTAAATATGCTTAATGTTAATACCAGCAGAATTGACCATGGGCTATGTAATCAGTTATGTAACTAAATTGCATCCATGTTACATCTTGAGAAGAGGTGTTGTAATATCAATCTGTAACATGCCTTCCTCTTTAAGGGTTAACACTGAAAGAATCTCATGTGTTTCCTGTGACTAATTAGGCTTATAAAATCTAGTCTGTTTTACCCTCTTTCGTATCCTCTATCTTGATGGTGCGAAGCTACGGAGCGAGGCAGAAGCTTTTGTGTTTGCCTGTTTGTCGGCATTACCTAAACTGCCGTTGCTTACTCTGTTCAATTACTTTGGTATGTAATATACTTTTAGTGTTATGTTTATTTCTTAGGGACTCCCGTTTACCCTTCCCTGAGAGATTTAGATAAAATATATTTGAACCACTTATCTCAGTGTCTCGCAGCCTCATTATTTTTCCCAACAATCATGTGGACAACATGCTGGCTCAGGAGTCCTGCTTTTTGTGGCCATTTACCTGGAAAAGAAAATCTAGGAAGCCAAATACATGTTTATGTTCTTTTGTTTGACCTGATTAAGGTATTACTTGGCTATGGCCATGGTTTATTTGGATACCTGTTCTGACGGAAAGTATTTGTGTTGATGGATCTAGGAAAAATTATAACTCCCCAGCTCCTGTGTACTCTCTACATCTGCTGGGAGCATCTCCTCTGCCTGGAATAACCGAAGGGCATATTTCATCAGTGCAAGTCCTCATTAGCTTCCTGGGCTGTGGATTTCATGATTTTTCTTTTGCACATGTGTAGTAATATATTGTCAGGTCTGTTGAGTTCCAGCAAATATCAAGAGAGCATGACCCACTTAAAAACAAACTTGTGTAAATTGGGAGCAATTAACCTTCATCTTTAGACTTATATTTAGAACTGGGAAGCTCCCTGAGTAATCTTGTGTTGGATAGGCTATCCTCTCTAAACCTAAGGCACCTGTGCCACTGGGAGAGAGCTGCTATGAGTATAGAGGAGTTGAATGTATGTACAGCCTTCTGCTCTGAACAAGGGTAGTGTAAGAACAATAAATGTAGAAAAGGGTGTCCAGTGGCTTTTGTTTTTCTTTTTGAGCAGACGTTTGCTATTGGAAAACATCCTTGTGTCCTTGGCTGACTTTTTTTTCTGCTATGCATTCTCTCTCTCTCATCTTACAGCCTATCCTATTCATCGTACAGCTAATCTGCCAAGAAGCACTGTTGACTTTTATGTAGGGTTTTTTAAAGATTTCCCTAGTTTCATTTAATGTATTAATTTTTTTAACTTTTAAAAATAATTACCAATGAGTCTTCAGCCAGAAGTCTCTTTGTAATATTGAGTCCAAAGGAACAGCAATAGATTTTTATAAGGTCAATTTATATAACTTCCCAAAGACCCATAAATGTCACTTTTAAAAAAAATATCCAAAACACTAAAAAAAATTGATTGCAAAATCTTATGTTCTGCTGCCTTATTTCTAATTCTGCTCACATTCATTGAATAACAGGAGTCCTAAAATTTGGTCAGGTGTTGTTGTGTCTGTGAACTGTGCTGTTAAACTCAGTCTAAAGAGGGTGATCTTAGGCTGACTGAGACATTGGTATGTGTGCAAATAGGTTCCTGAAGCAGAATAGAAGCATAGAAAAAAATACATTTCTTACATAAATACACTTGAGATTAAATTTTAGGTGCTGTACTTCATAAATAAGTCAACTGAGTCTTGTAAAAATTATATAGTGATTAGAGTAGAACTCAGTTGCAGTTCTTCTCAGAGGGAGAAAAATCTTCTGGTGGAAGATTCAGCCCTGACGAGCAAAATGAAAATCCACAGACAAACAGTATTGTTTTCAGGAGCAGTTAAAACAATGATTTTTGTAACACACTAGATGCCTTACATAAATACATATTCAGTTGTGTCTCTAGTCTTCAGTGGTTGATAACAATGTGATTGGGCTTGTTCTTCATTACATGATTATGGATACATAAAGTACTACTGATTTGAAGAAAGAGGTATATGGCATTATCTAGAAATACTTGATGCCACCTGTAACATCTGTTGGAGCTTTGAAGCTGACATATATGCATGTATGCACTCCTACTTCTCGTCTAGTGATTGTCCAGCTATCAAATGTGTTGTGCGTGAGTTTTTTTAAAATATAACATAAGCCATGATCTTTTTCATGTGATATTAGAGCCAAGCACATTACTGGCAATACAACCTAGCAATAATCACCCTGCTTTGAGTTGAGGTACAGTAGGTTAAACCCATATATTTAAGATGCATCTTTGCCTAATTTATGACATTTTCTAGGTTGACTGGCATCAGTTGGATTATCTGGTAATTGACATGCCTCCTGGGACAGGAGATGTGCAGCTATCAATCTCGCAGAATGTTCCAATTGCAGGTATATTTTTTAAATACATGATGCAGTGTTTGTGTATCTACACAAAAGTATGTTGGTGCTTACTGTCAGAGAAGCACCTGTAAGATTGCAACTTTAGTAACTGTTAAAGGGGAAGATCCACAAAGTAATTTTTTAAAAAGATTATCTTGGGTATGGAGGGATTGACAAGAGTATGGCCATATTCATGTGCATTTTCCATGTTTATACTTGATACTTCCTTCTGTGTTCCTCTTTTAAAATATCTCTTTCACTGCATCAGAACTCTTCAAATTATTTAAGTTGGAAAGGCAGTCTGACAATTAAGAGCAGCAGCGATTAACAGAAAAAAAATTGTGTTCTTTTCCTTCAAAGAAAAGTACTGTGCCTTCTAGAATTTAAAGGTGAGCTTAGCATAGGGGAAGGAGCACGGTCACAAGGAAGCTATCTGAAAAGGGGAAAAATTGCTGTGAGATGTTTTCTTTCTTTGGATCATGGCCACATAAAACGTGAGTTAATTTTATATCTGGATAGAAACAATGTGACACTGCTAAAGGAAAGAAACTTTATTTTCTTTTTCGTAAATGCTTATAATGGGCACAGGGAAATTTATAGTTATGCAAATGAAATTGATTGATCGTCTGTAAGTCATATGATTAACTCACTAGGCTTTGAAATAGATAGGGCAGTTTTTGTCATTCTTTGACCATTTAATTATGTATCTGATGCAAAACTGATATTGTAAATTGTATTTAAGTGTATTTCTTAAGTGATATAACAACAAATACATGGGTGTGTTTCAAAATAATGGGTATGATGCATGAATTAAATCTTTGCAAGAAAACTATGTTGTGAGAAGTAGTTGCACAGCTAGTAGCTTGGCATATGTGAAGTCTTCTTTCAGTCATGCCCAGTGAGTAATAGAAGAGGTGACCAATTATTGATCATATAGGTAGAATTTAGGCATCATGCCATATCATGGTTAAAGAGATGTAATTGCAGTTTGGCAGGGTGCCCAGGCTGATAAACTATGTCTTGCTTATTGGCTGGCAATCCAGGACTGAAAACTGTCATTTGTGGTGTATAAATAAGCTGTAAATCATAGCAGTTTGCTATGCTTGGAAATTCAAATCACAGATATCTGAAATTATTATGAACAAAATAGCTGAAAACTGAACTGAGAAAGCATCTGTATATAGAATAGGAATAAACATCCACTGCAAACATTTGAATCTACCCCACCTATATGAAGCTGTTTTTCTGTGAACTGACATGACACAGCTAGAATCACACATTTGGGTCTTCCTCCTAAAATTTTCACTTGTCCATTAATCTTTAATGGGAGATACCCCATGAAATTGTCCCAAGGAGTTCTGTCATTCCAGCAGTTCCCAGCAGGATTGAAGCATGTTGTGGAAAAATGATTCCCACAAAATATTAAAATACTGTAGTGTTAAATGCTATTCATGGGCCTTCAGTGCATGAGGAAGTGGAAGCATTTAAATCAATATTAAAATAGTGTTAAATGCTATTCATGGGCCTACAGTGCATGAGGAAGTGGAAGCATTTAAATTGAAGGTAGCCTGACAGTTACATGGATTCACTGGTTCACTGATAATTGGCTAGCAGTTATTCTCAGATAGCTAGATCGTGTTTTAAATCTCTTTATCTGCAGCACTTTCCCCAGCATGAATCTTGTCCAGCTATGGGCGAAGCTGGTGAAGTGTGAGTGCCTTCAGCCATACCTAGCATAGCAAATAATGAGGGCTGGGAGTTGTGGTTCAGCGGTATCTAGAAGTCCCTGGTCTAACCCAGAGAGAGAAAGATAGATCCCTTAGATGAGCTTGGATGAGTAATATGTAAATCTCTTTGGCCAGAATCCTCTTGGGGATTTACACTGACATTGGTGTAACTGTGTAAATTGTGGGGGTGAACTAATGCTAATTGATGATAAGCTGCTTGCATTCTTCCTCACACAACTGCATTTTTATATTTTAGCCGCATAATATGTTTTAAGAATAGGCTGTATATTTTTACACAGCATTTTGCATATTTTAGCCATAAATAGGTTTTATGAGCTGGTCACCCAGCCGTAATAAATAAATTCTATTCTAACCCAAGTCCCATAACAAGAAATGTCAGCAGCAACACATCAGTTAGCATCAATATATCTCTAGTTTACACAATTGTAGTTGCACTAATAGAAATTCGCAATAGAATTCTGCACTTTGATAACTTTATATTGGAAAAGAGTACAGTGGTGCCTCGCTTAGCAATTGCCTCGTTTAACGATGTATTCGCTTAGTGATGAGGTTTATGGAGCGATCTTGCGCTCCGCTTAGCGATGTTTCCAATGGGGAAATTTCGCATAGTGATGTTCGGGACCTTGCTTCGCTTAGCGATGACAGTTTAGGTCCCCCTGTTTCGCTTAGCGATGTCCGTTTTTGCTATCTTAAGTCTGTCTTAAAATGTTCAAAAACTGTTTAAAATGCTTGGAATCATTAGTGCACCCTGTAAAACCTTTGCAAACTTAATTTGGCTTTGTTCTGAGTCTTCGTTAATTTTTGGTGAATTCCCCCCCCCCCATTGGAATGCATTGAACTGTAGGTTTGAGACTTTAAATATGTGTGAATATAATCGTGACAATGTTGACAAGATTAGAGAGGCCAATCCCGGTTTGATGACACTGGAGTTGATAAACAAAAATGAGAAAGAAGGAAGTTACTTGCTGAATAAATAATAGAAATCAGTTGGTTTAAGAGATATATAACTAACATATAAAGCAACATGACTAATATACTATAAGCAAATCTGGCCAGACATGAAATTTAAGGTTAGACAAGCGTATGTAACTTTGACTTCAGAAATGATGATGAATAATAATAGTTAGACAAGCGTATGTAACTTATGACTTCAGAAATGATGATGAATAATAAATCTGAATGTTTTGTTTCTGAGGCATGTGTATGGAAATATCAAATATGTGTAAACTATAAGAGTGATTATGCTGACAAGATTTATGTTTTGTTTCTGAGGCAGTATGGAAATATCAAATATGTGTGAACTATAAGAGTGATTATGCTGACAAGAATAGAAGAATGGAGATCATTGAGGAATGAACAGGCCTGTGTGGATATTATGGTGGATAAGTAATTTTAAAGAGGAAATGAGGAATGTTTATGATGAGAGTTAGATGGATGGAAATGCAGATGAGAGAATTTACAAAATTTATTATAAATTTAGGATGTTAGATACTTAATTAGATATACAAAATAGGGATGTGGAAGGTAACATGTGTGGATGCACACGAATATATTATTTCTGTAGTCAGAATTTATGTAATAGATAAGCTGGTATGGGAAATACCTCCCCGCCTGTATGTTTTGTTAGTCTTGTATGTTTTGTTAGTTTTATATGTTATTGTTTTGTAGGTATTTCTGTTTTTCTGTAAGTATGTATGTTATAAAAAATAATAAAATGTTAAAAAAGAAAAAAAGAAAACTGTTCTCCAGTTTCCCCTGCTCCAGCTCTCCAGTTTCGACTGGCTGTGGAATGCCATCTTCAGATGGGTTTGCTTGGTGTCTCCGTTACGGGACTTCTTATGCTAGGCAAAGCCACTTTTATTTTCAAATGAGCCATTATTTATAAGGCCTTTAAGGTCTCCTTTACTGGCAGTTTTACTTGCTGCTGTGTTTTTGCTACTTTTCTGCCAATGTTATTTTTTGTGCTGTTTTCATCATTGTTTATGCTACATATTTAAATTCATTAACTAGAAAGCTCCACTTGCTTAAAAATAAAATAAATGATAAATAAAAATGCATAAACTCTGAGAGGTCCAGCATTCTGTTACTGCAGTGGCCATTCAGAGACCTACAGGAAGATGTGGGTATTATCATAGCTTCCTGCTTATCAACTGGTTGGTTTTCTTAGTAATAATTTCAATCAGCTGGCTTTTTGATGGGGGAGGAATATATATAAAAACATATTCTTGACTTGATTTTCACCAGACAATGTTGAAAGGAAGGGACCGAATTTTCATGTACAAAATATTGGAGCAAATGAAAGTCTACTTCAGTACATGTCAAAGGAGGCATAATCCTTGCAATGACTTGTTCATTCAATCATTGTTAATATAGTTCATCTCTGAAATGTGATTAGGTAAAAATTATACATTCTTCTTAAGTAGAGCTGCTTCTCGAGTGAATTTCAGTCACATTTGCTGATTTTAATGATCAAAATAATTTCATACTTATCAATCTTATTAATCCTGCCGAGGCAACACTGCTTAGGGAAAAATTATTTGATGCTTTTCCTTAATAATGCGATTGTGGCATATTTGCAAAAAGAATCTTTTTCGAGTTTTGAATAACTGTTGGGAACTGTTAGATGAGAGGGAACAAGTAGTATCTGGACAGGCAAGAAGATTTAGACTGAATAAAGTTGAAAAATCAAGATGATGGTTAGGTATGGGTACAGTCCAAAATGGGAAGTAAACATTGTACATGCTTGAAATAACTTTAATCAACAGGTGAAATGTATATGTATGGAATATAACTGCAATATCAGCAGTATAAGAGGAGACTTTGGTTTCAAAACTAACGGAAAGACTAGAATAGTGATTTCAAAGTTTGTATTGATTAGTGAATTTACCTTAGTGAAAATCTTATTCATTCTTATACTCAGAGCATCTGATTATTCTGCCCCTTACCCACTTATACCATGTACCCCACACATGGGAGACTCTGGATTTGGCAATGGTATTGTGGGCTAATCAGTGAGAATTGGGTGTTCCAGTACAGAATAATGGGAATACTTTCTTCCAAGGGAAAATAATAATTCATTTTCAATAAAAGTTCAGAATAATAGATTATGGCATAGTTTTTGCTTAATTGCAATGAAATACTCCAATTAAATGCAGTATGATGTTCCTGACAATGCCTTTTCTGTTTTCCCCTCAATGTTATAGGGGCTGTGATTGTGTCTACTCCTCAGGATATAGCCTTGTTGGATGCACGCAGAGGCACCGAGATGTTCAGAAAAGTGAATGTTCCAGTAAGCCTATACAAGTATATGCTGTTTCACACCTGCAATAATATATTTTAATCTGGGACTTGCATTGTTACCTGTTTTGGAAATGTTATCTGATTCCTCAGTTGGATTGCAACTGTGATGGTGGATTGGGGCCACGTGTGGATTGGGGCCAGGGACGGTATAGACCGGAATATCTACAGGTTTAGAGACAGAATTGCTGTAATCTAACCTGGTACCCGCCTTCTAGGAAAGGGGAGGGTGTGAGGTAATGGAGCCCTCCTACCTCTCCTTGCGTCTACAACGTCTAGTGCCTACTGTTAGATAAACATGAAATTGGAGAGGGAGGGGCGATGTAATGGACCCCTCCTACCTCTCCTTGCGTCTACAACGTCTAGTGCCTACTGTTAGATAAACATGAAATTGGAGAGGGAGGCCTTTTGGGTGATTTGAACCCTGGAAAATTTTAGGAAAACTTGTCAATTGGATCCTATTGGGATCCAATAGAATTTTTTCACTCATGGAATACTTACTCTTCATCACACTGGAAGAGGGCAATCCCTTCTTCCTTACTGAAGCCCCAATGTGCCTTACGAATATGCTTGGGATGTCTGGAAGACACTGTGGAGCAGGATCTCAAATGTCGGGGAAGGGGAAGCAAGTTTTGTTCCACTAGCATCTGGACGCTAACATGGCATTGGATTTAAGTCATAGGCTAGCAGGGGCTTGAATTCATAAAAGTGTAACAGGAGCAAAAAAGTGCAGTGAAGATAAACTAGAATTGTTGGGAGGTCTGAAGTGAGAACAGAAGATTACACTGGACTTGGCCATACAGGAGGAGTTAGAATATGCAATTTGTGAAGAATATGAAATGTAAATTTTTTTTTACTGTGGTTCCAACTCAAATAGGGATAGGAACTCTTTGGCCGTCTGGATGTCTTAGACTACAGCTCCAGTGATCATTACACATGCTGGGGGGGGGGGGGTCAGATGAAAACTGTAGCCAAAGAATACCCCATCCCAGCACTGAATAATTTGAGTTTACTTAGTTCTAATTTGGGTATACTGAGCAAACAGGAAGAAAATTACACTGAATACACAAATAAAATCAAAAAGTGTGTTGCCTGTGCTGCTTATATACCACCCAATAGCACTTAAAGCACTCTTATGCAGACTGCACGTAATACACATACTCCTCAGTGAGCTGAGTACTCAATTTACTGACCTCGTTAGGATGGAAGGCTGAGTAAACACCAAGCTGTCCACCTGAGCCTGTTGGGATTGAACTTGGGTGATGAGCAGAGTCTTGACTGCAATACTGCACCACAGTCCAAGGCATGAGATAAAACGTGAGTGGTAATCTATAAAATTAGCATAAAAGCAAGGCACATAGGATGACATTGAAAATGACCAGAGGAACTTGATACCCTAATGCAGGACTAAGCAATTTGTTGCTCTTGAAAAATCACTGAATATGATCAGGAGGTAGGAAAGCACCATATTTCAGCTCAATCCTGTATGTCACTTGTTTCTCTATTATTTTAAGATACATTGATCTTTAAATGAAAAAAGAAGAGAAAGGTACCAACCCATCAGTATGCAAATTCCTGTAACCAACTTGCTATCGAATGGATGCCAGAGAAGTCCCATTTACTTTTTATCTTTGCCATTTCATAATATTCATGATACTGGAAGTGTAGAATAGCTCAAGACCTTAATCCAAAGGTGGACAACTTTGGGCTCTTGATGTTGTTGGCCTGCAGCTGAGGTATACTGTTATCCAGCAGCACTTGGAGGGTCACACCCTGGCCACACGCCCTGACCTCATGCCTTGGAAATTTGGAAATGTATATTTGTGTCTTTACGTCTAAGAAGCAAATTGCGAATGAGATGGGTAAAAAGACCAGAATTATTTCTAAAATACAAGCAACATACATTTTCATAAGAAAAATGGAAAGGGCCCAGTCCCCGATGACCTCACAGTTTAAAAGAGATAATAACAAAGACAAGAGATGTAGAAAACATTTGGGGGGGGGGAGGAAGAAAGAACATTGCCTAAAAGACTGTTCCAGTGTTTTGATTTGTAATCAGATTTGGCTTGGGCTACAACAACATACTTTGTTCCAAAGAAGCTATGATAGGAAAGATTTTTTAAAAGTCAGGTGGTAACGTCTGTTGGCAGAAATAATAACGGTTAAGCATAACACAGTGTAATGTTTTAAAGTTCAATAGAACAAAAAAGTATAAAAGCTCAAAGTGCTTCATTTTCTGTTGTGCATTATAGTTGTACCATCGCAACTTAATCAGGAAACTGTGTAATCAAAACCTGTATAAAAGCTATTTCTCTTCTGGAGTTCTGCACAGCAGTGTTCTTAGAACTTGGTATTTGGGGCAGAATGTTCCTGAGAAAAAAACAAAAGTCTTGTTATGAACTGGCAAAGATGAAAAGTTAAGAGCCCGGAAAACCCACAACAACCATTAATGGGACTTCTCTGGCATCCATTCTATAGCAAGTCAGTTACAGAAATTTGCACACTGCTGGACTGCCCTCACTTTCTGAAAATGAAAGTATCTCAAGGGCAGAAATAGGACTGAGCTGAAAGACAGTGCTTTTCAGTGAACATTTAAGGCAGCATTCCTACCTCTTTATGATCTTTCAGTGAAAGGGCTCAGAAGCATTTACTAATTCAATATATTTTTCTCACTTTATATTTTCTGTGGTGTTGTAAACAAGTAGAGATGTGTGTGACAAGGTTTTTCATATTTCTTTCATTTCAGGTGCCTTCAGGGGTGTCTCTTTTGTTCATGTATTTTTTCACTACTGGTACTTTCATTTTACATGAAAGGGATCCTCTTTGGGGTTTCCTGGGATGCCAAAAGCCCTAAAGAACCTTTAAAACTCTTCTTAAAAGCAGAGGCAACAGAGAATCAATCTAATCCAAAAGGAGACAACAGTACATGAGAAACAAACGTTATTGTCAGACATATATATGCAGGCACTAGTTTATATTATCAAATTCATCACAATTATCAGCTCATCATCTATCATTATCTCAGACTTGTTGCCTTGGTTACTTAGCAATTGACAGCCCAACTCACTCACTCCCCAAGCTGCAGTGCACTGCTCATGGCACTGCAAGTACTACTAGTGCTTGTCAGACACAATACCTCCTCACCAAGTTATTCTCAGCTCACAGAATTACGCAGATACAGAAGACCCAGTCACAAAACCCACTCTCACAGCCAGTGCCCACCCACAGAAGCAAACAAATTGTCTTCAACCCCTCCTGACCAAAACATATGCTTTTCACAGAACAAATGCACAGCAAATTAATCAAATAACAGTTTTGAGAAATCAGTCAAACAGGGAAAGCACCTCATGCAAATAACAAAAAAGTAGTATTAAAAACAACAGCACACAGCTCTCTCTGTCAAACATCTAGAAAATCAATGAAGCACAATTGTCCCCCAGAACCCAAAATAAGAAAAAATGTAGATTAAAAAAATAAGTGCAAAGCTCCCTCTCTCAAATATCCAGAAAATCAAGCAAGCAAATAAAGCAAAAAAAAAAAAATAAAATAAAATAAAAAAAAATAAAAGGAAATAGCGATTGTTCTTCTTCGCTATAGCAGCGATCCCCAACCTTTTTAGCCTCGTGGCTCCCCTGGGCTCATGCGCATGTGCAAAGGAGCAGGAGTGCTTGTGTGCAAAAACAAAAACAACAAAAAAGCAAATAGCGATTGTTCTTCTTCACGATAGCAGCGACCCCCAACCTTTTTAGCCTCGTGGCTGTGGAAGGCAGGGCGCTCCCCTGGGCTCATGCACATGTGCAAAGGAGCAGGAGTGCTTGTGTGGGGGCACACATGCTTGTGCGCATGTACAAAGGGCGGCACAGTGCTTGTGCAGGGGCCGTGCATTCACACACAGGCGCAAATGGGCCGTGGGGGGGGGAGTACGTACGGGGATGGGGGGAGGTCTCTCTCTGCAGCCCAGTCTGGCTCAGGCCACGGACTGGGGGTGGGTTTCTCTGCACTACAATATTCAGTTTTTACTCTTGGTCTCTCAATCAAATACTAACCAGGGCTGACCCTGTTTCGCTTCCAAAGTCACATAAGAACCTTCATCTCTGAGGGGAGAATAACATGCACCAAGTTAGGATATTTGTTTAATATTTGTTGTGCCCACCTGAGAGCCACTTGAAATTACATACTGAAAGAAAACAAACTGCAGAGCCCTAATGGTAATGTTTTGCTAATGGCAGGTACAGTATTCTTTGCCTAAGTTGAACTATGAGAAACCATTGTTCTTCATAGTATGCTATTAAGATTTATTAATAATCATGCTAATCATCTCTATGAAGAGCTTCCTTGAAGAAATGGTGATTATTAAACCATGGCATCTTTGGTGGTGATTGAACAGTAGCTATGCCTGATAATGAGTAAACAGTAGTTGGTATGATAATGAGCACTGGAACAGAATTAGAGTAGAAATTCATAGCAAATTTCTGTTGAATATTCATTGGGCACTTTGATATACATTGGCAACATTGGATATAAGATTAGTACTGATGTTTAATATCAGCATTTAATATTTCACAATGTAGACTGGAGCGTGGAAGTATTACTTTTTTGGACTATAGCTCACAGCATAGCTGGCTGTGGATTCTAGGAGCTATAGTTTGAAAACGTTACTTTTGAAGTTCTAGTATAGCTTATATATATATTTAGACCTATCTTGTTTAGAGAGGCCTTGAGGTGAAAAAATGCAAAGCATCCTTTTAAAAGTGTATACAAAACACTTTCATACTCAAAGGACAAATGCCTTTTAAAAAAGCTTTTAAAAACTTTATTTAAAATGTGTTCCATGTTTAAAGATAATTGATGGCAACTGACTCAAAAGCCTCCCTAAAGTGTTGCTTGTCTAGTTTGGCAACACTTCCAAATCCTTTTGCAGGGTTAATTATTTAAAATACTGTACCTTTTTCACCTTTCGTAGGCTCACTTTCAATCACAGTATTCTAAAAA